GGCTAATAAAATTATGATTCCAGTGTTCGATCATCCTTCTTCTTCTTCTTCTCAAAATGAGGATGTGGCGGTCAGGAGGGATCCATATCTTTTCCACATGAACCTAACATAATCATCTTTAGATCCACAAAGAACGTATGATTCCATTACGCATCGAGAGGGAGAGAAAGAAGAACAAGATTGTATCATCTTCATCTTCGGCAAGAAAGCATGATTAGATTACCCATGGACATGAAACAAGAGATAAATCGGGCGAGAATAGTAAGGAATATGGCAAACCAAAACAATCACCTGATGAAAAGCCCCCACGAACTCCTAGTGAGTGGTTGACATTTATGGTACGATTAGGGTTGTCGCTCGCGGTTAATGTACTCCTATCGAAAAGAGTTTGACATATGGTTCGGCGACGGACTTTACGGTCTCTATCTGCATCCAGCTCGTGAACATTTCTCGAAAACACCACCAGCGCTAGCGGTTAGAGCAAGTCGGACACTACAAAAGTGACTAGTGTACTATTAAGCAGAGGCGTTCAGGGATTATAGAAAGCGGACACAAGTATGGGTATAAGGTAACCTTAACAAAGATTTAGGATATTATCGCTGCAGGATGTGTGTGTGTCTGACCATCGGTTTCGATGAGGCCAACCAAGTGCACCAACAGGTTGGTACAAGAGATGACGGTCTTAGGATTTAAAGCAAATGGCGGAGAAAAAAAGCGTTTTTATGGAGCGCACTGTATTGATGCTGACGTTTCCAAAATCATTCTCATTTTCTTCATAAGGTAGTTTACTCTGTTTGCCTGGAATTCTTTTGTCTCGCGCCTGTCCCGTTTTATAGACGTGCTTACGCATGGACTTAAAGAAAGGGTATCTTTCGATTTGAAAAAAATTCTAATTACGAGCTTTTTACAATTTTCAGGTGTTCATTCATAGAACATCGTATCCGTCAATTTGTTATTGCTGCCTTTACTGTATAAAGCATGCTCCATATCTATTGCAACGTTTAATGAGAACTGTGTGAGATCTTCCTCAAACTGTAGGCGAAAACGCTCTTTTCCTTAAGCAAGATGTACACAGTGCGCAGTTTGTAAACCTTAAATTCCAATAGGTTTCGAAATTATTCCGCAATTTAGAAACTTTTTTAAAACCGTAATATACCCTTTCTTTGAGTATGGCATTTAAAGAAGGCGTAATTTCCTACTTAACGTGTGCAAGAGGTTTTTTACTGCATGCTTTCCAAAAATATATTTGAATTAATAAAGACAGTCAAAATCAATGAGAAAAAGGCATACTACTTAAGAAGCTACTTTTTATAGTACATACTTTTAATAAGCGGTCAGAAAGAAGCTCGTTAAAAAGCCGGCATCCTAATGTGACCAAAATGTATTGAGATTAGGCTGTACGATCGTCGTTTTAAAACCATACGTCTTGAATATGTTTGAATAGAGAACGCATTTCAGAATTCCGGGTGACGTTTCATGAGATAGGGAATATACTGTATATTGAATTGGAAAATGGGCATCGCAAAAAGTATAATTCGATGGAAGAAGTCGTTTGGAAAGCGATGGCAAACGTTTTTGTAAATGTTCAACACTGGCTCACCAGGTCGTCTTCAGACATCTACATCTTGTACAGAACAGTGTGAATTTCAAGCATACCAGCAAGTCACGCGTCTGTGGAAGGACATCATAGACAAAGACAAGGGAGACTACGATGTTCATTTCAGGCTTATTAGCCGTCGTCAGCTAGTCGCACCCAGACCCAAGTGATGTTACACTTGAGCCTCGAACTTGTGACCTCTCTGATCGGAGTCAAACGCTCCAACCATTGAGCTACGAGCTCGTTGTCTTGCCGGTGTTTGACCGGGGATATACAGTGGCAGATACGCGTACACCGAGGACACGCCCGTCCATATATATATATGGAAGGAAAAGGTAAGGCGATCGCTAGGGGTAATTTTGTTTCGCCTGAGCCTTCGCACTCAGGCTCCAGCATATAATCGGAGATAGATGTCTAGGTCAAGACATTAGTTAAAATAGGGGCTTTCCGCTCGCTCCTGGTTGGCCCGTCATTCTATCGTCTCATTGGACACCCTCTCGTGCGCATGTGGAACCTT